CTCTCTCTCTCTGAGTCACTCTCCCTCTGAGTCTCTCTCTGAGTCACTCTCTCTCTGAGCCTCTCTCTGAGTCACTCTCTCTCTCTGAGTCACTCTCTCTCTGAGTCTTTCTCTGAGTCACTCTCTCTGAGTCTCTCTCTCTCTCTCTCTGAGTCACTCTCTCTCTCTCTGAGTCACTCTCTCTCTCTCTGAGTCACTCTCCCTCTGAGTCACTCTCTCTCTGAGTCACTCTTTCTCTCTCTCTCTGAGTCACTCTCTCTGAGTCACTCTCTCTCTGAGTCACTCTCTCTCTCTCTCTGAGTCACTCTCTCTGAGACACTCTCTCTTTGAGTCACTCTCTCTCTGAATCTCTCTCTCTCTGAGTCACTCTCTCTCTGAATCTCTCTCTCTCTCTCTGAGTCACTCTCTCTGAGTCACTCTCTCTCTGAGTCACTCTCTGAGTCACTCTCTTTCTCTGAGTCACTCTCTCTCTGAGTCTCTCTCTCTCTCTCTGAGTCACTCTCTCTGAGTCACTCTCTCTCTCTGAGTCACTCTCTCTCTGAGTCACTCTCTCTGAGTCACTCTCTCTCTGAGTCACTCTCTGAGTCACTCTCTTTCTCTGAGTCACTCTCTCTCTGAGTCACTCTCTCTGAGTCACTCTCTTTCTGAGTCACTCTCTGAGTCACTCTCTATCTGAGTCACTCTCTCTCTGAGTCACTCTCTCTCTGAGTCACTCTCTCTCCGAGTCACTCTCTCTCTCTGAGTCACTCTCTCTCTGAGTCACTCTCTCCCTGAGTCACTCTCTCTCTGAGTCACTCTCTATCTCTCAGTCACTCTCCCTCTGACTCTCTCTCTGAGTCACTCTCTCTCTCTATGAGTCTTTCTCTGAGTCACTCTCTCTGAGTCTCTCTCTCTCTCTCTCTGAGTCACTCTCTCTGAGTCACTCTCTCTCTCTGAGTCACTCTCCCTCTGAGTCACTCTCCCTGAGTCACTCTCTCTCTGAGTCACTCTCTCTCTGAGTCACTCTCTCTCAGTCACTCTCTCTCTCTGAGTCACTCTCTCCCTGAGCCACTCTCTCTCTGAGTCACTCTCTCTGAGTCACTCTCTCTCTCTCTGAGTCACTCTCCCTCTGAGTCTCTCTCTGATTCACTCTCTCTCTGAGCCTCTCTCTGAGTCACTCTCTCTCTCTGAGTCACTCTCTCTCTCTCTGAGTCACTCTCCCTCTGAGCCTCTCTCTGAGTCACTCTCTCTCTGAGCCCCTCTCTGAGTCACTCTCTCTCTCTCTCTGAATCACTCTCTCTCTTAGTCTTTCTCTGAGTCACTCTCTCTGAGTCTCTCTCTCTCTCTGAGTCACTCTCTCTCTCTGAGTCACTCTCTCTCTCTCTCTGAGTCACTCTCCCTCGGAGTCACTCTCTCTCTGAGTCACTCTCTCTCTGAGTCACTCTCTCTCTGAGTCACTCTCTCTGAGACACTCTCTCTTTGAGTCACTCTCTCTCTCTGAGTCACTCTCTCTCTCTGAGTCACTCTCTCTCTGAGTCACTCTCTCTGAGTCACTCTCTCTCTGAGTCACTCTCTGAGTCACTCTCTTTCTCTGAGTCACTCTCTCTCTGAGTCACTCTCTCTGAGTCACTCTCTTTCTGAGTCACTCTCTGAGTCACTCTCTTTCTCTGAGTCACTCTCTGTCTGAGTCACTCTCTCTGAGTCACTCTCTCTCTGAGTCACTCTCTCTCTGAGTCACTCTCTCTGAGTCACTCTCTCTGAGTCACTCCCTCTCTGAGTCACTCTCTCTGAGTCACTCTCTCTCCGAGTCGTCCTCTCTCTGAGTAACTCTCTCTGAGTCACTCTCTCTGAGTCACTCTCTCTCTGCGTCACTCTCTCTCAGTCACTCTCTCTCTCTGAGTCATTCTCTCTCTCTGAGTCACTCTCTCTCTCTGAGTCACTCTCTCTCCGAGTCGTCCTCTCTCTGAGTAACTCTCTCGGAGTCACTCTCTCTGAGTCTCTCTCTGAGTCACTCTGTCTCTGAGTCACTCTCTCTCTGAGTCACTCTCTGAGTCACTTTCTCTCTCTCTGAGTCTCTCTCTGAGTCACTCTCTCTCTGAGTCACTCTCTCTCTGAGTCACTCTCTCTGAGTCACTCTCTCTGAGTCTCTCTCTGAATCTCTCTCTCTCTCTCTGAGTCACTCTCTCTCTCTCTCTGAGTCTTTCTCTGAGTCACTCTCTCTCTGAGTCTCTCTCTCTGAGTCACTCTCTCTCTGAGTCACTCTCTCTCTGAGTCACTCTCTCTCTGAGTCACTCTCTCTCTGAGTCACTCTCTCTCTCTGAGTCACTCTCTCTCTGAGTCTCTCTCTCTGAGTCACTCTCTCTGAGTCACTCTCTCTCTGAGTCACTCTCTCTCTGAGTCACTCTCTCTCCGAGTCACTCTCTCTCTGAGTCACTCTCTCTCTGAGTCACTCTCTGAGTCACTCTCTGAGTCTCTCTCTCTCTGAGTCACTCTCTCTCTCTCTCTCTCTCTGAGTCACTCTCTCTGAGTCACTCTCTCTCTGAGTCACTCTCTCTCTCTCTCTGAGTAACTCTCTCTGCGTCTCTCTCTGAGTCACTCTGTCTCTGAGTCACTCTCTCTCTGAGTCACTCTCTGAGTCACTCTCTCTCTGAGTCTCTCTCTGAGTCACTCTCTCTCTGAGTCACTCTCTCTCTGAGTCACTCTCTCTGAGTCACTCTCTCTCTCTCTGAGTCACTCTCTCTGCGTCTCTCTCTGAGTCACTCTCTCTCTCTGAGTCACTCTCTGAGTCACTCTCTCTCTGAGTCTCTCTCTGAGTCACTCTCTCTCTGAGTCACTCTCTCTCTGAGTCACTCTCTCTGAGTCACTCTCTCTGAGTCTCTCTCTGAGTCACTCTCTCTCTCTCTCTGAGTCACTCTCTCTCTCTCTGAGTCTTTCTCTGAGTCACTCTCTCTGAGTCTCTCTCTTTGAGTCACTCTCTCTCTTAGTCTCTCTCTGAGTCACTCTCTCTCTGAGTCACTCTCTCTCTGAGTCACTCTCTCTCTCTGAGTCACTCTCTCTGAGTCACTTTCTCTGAGTCACTCTCTCTGAGTCACTCTCTCTCAGTCACTCTCCGAGTCACTCTCTCTCTCCGAGTCATTCTCTCTCTGAGTCACTCTCTCTCTGAGTCACTCTCTCTCTGAGTCACTCTCTCTCCGAGTCACTCTCTGAGTCACTATCTCTCTCAGTCACTCTCTCTCTGAGTCACTCTCTCTCTCTGAGTCATTCTCTGAGTCACTATCTCTCTCTCAGTCACTCTCTCTCTGAGTCACTCTCTCTCAGTCACTCTCTCTCTGAGTCACTCTCTCTCTGAGTCACTCTCTCTGAGTCACTCTCTCTCAGTCACTCTCCGAGTCGTCCTCTGTCTGAGTCACTCTCTCTGAGTCACTCTCTCTGAGTCACTCTCTCTCAGTCACTCTCCGAGTCACTTTCTCTCTCTGAGTCACTCTCTCTGAGTCACTCTCTCTCAGTCACTCTCCGAGTCACTCTCTCTCTGAGTCACTCTCTCCCTCAGTCTCTCTCTGAGTCACTCTCTCCCTCAGTCTCTCTCCGAGTCGTCCTCTCTCTGAGTCACTCTCTCACTCCCAGTAGTCACTCTCTCTCTCTGAGTCACTCTCTCTCTGAGTCACTCTCTCTCTGAGTCACTCTCTCTGAGTCACTCTCTCTGATTCACTCTCTCTCTGAGTCACTCTCTCTCCGAGTCACTCTCTCTCTCTCTGAGTCACTCTCTCTCTGAGTCACTCTCTCTCTCTCTGAGTCACTCTCTCTCTGAGTCACTCTCTCTCTGAGTCACTCTCTCTCCGAGTCACTCTCTCTCTGAGTCATTCTCTCTCTGAGTCACTCTCTCTCTGAGTCACTCTCTCTCTCTGAGTCACTCTCTCTCTGAGTCACTCTCTCTCTGAGTCACTCTCTCTGAGTCACTCTCTCTCTCTGAGTCACTCTCTCTGAGTCACTCTCTCTCCGAGTCACTCTCTGAGTCACTCTCTCTCTGAGTCACTCTCTCTCTCAGTCACTCTCAGTCACTCTCCGAGTAGTCCTCTCTCTGAGTCACTCTCTCTCTGAGTCACTCTCTGAGTCACTCTCTCTCTGAGTCACTCGCTCTCTCAGTCACTCTCCGAGTCGTCCTCTCTCTGATTCACTCTCTCTGAGTCACTCTCTCTGAGTCACTCTCTCTCTGAGTCACTCTCTCTCTGAGTCACTCTCTCTCTCTTAGTCACTCTCAGTCACTCTCCGAGTCGTCCTCTCTCTGAGTCACTCTCTCTGAGTCACTCTCTGAGTCACTCTCTCTCTGAGTCACTCTCTCACTCCCAGTAGTCACCCCGCTCCCTCTCTCCACCTTCCACGCGAGCCCTGAACCGACTCCCTCCCCCTCCACCCATGACCGGCGTCGTCATTCGGCGTGGGCGATTGACGAGTGCTCTGGGGGGGGGGGTGGGGCAGCCTCGAGGCGGTGATGGAGCTCGGCCACGTACAACCTGCACAGTGTCCCGGCACAGAGGCCAGAAGACCTCGAACCCTGTGTCTCCGCCCTGTACCATCACCCTGTATAATAATAATAATAACAACAACCCCTATGTGTCCTGACTTTTGGGCCACCCTGTATAACAACAACAACCCCTATGTGTCCTGACTTTTGGGCCACCCTGTATAACAACAACAACCCCTATGTGTCCTGACTTTTGGGCCACCCCATACAATAATAGACGACGTTTCGAGCAATGGACCTTCATCGGCATGTACACAACACGTGGATTCACTGCCCCCCCCCCCCTCCCCACGGCACCGTTGTGGCGACGTTTCGGCCGTTGACCCCTGTGACCTACACAGCTCTCGAATTGAAGGTGGCGGGGAGGGGTGGTGGGGGCGGGGCCGAGATTGGGGGCGTGGCCAGGGTTGGGGGCGGTGCTGTGAGGAATTTTTTTTTTATCAATGGGGGGGAGGGCGATGTTATCGTAGTGTGGACTCGCCAGCCAATCGCGAGAGGGCACAGGGGGGTGGGAGTGGGACCACGTGGGTTCCGCATGTGAATGTTGTGTGTGCATTGTGTGGGTGACAGCGAGGAGCAGGTGGGTGTGGTGTGTGTAGTGTAGTGTGTTAGTATTAGTGTGTAGTGTGTTAGTATTAGTGTGTAGTGTTAGTGTGTATGTAGTGTGTGTAGTGTAGTGTTAGTGTGTATGTAGTATGTGTAGTGTAGTGTGTTAGTATTAGTGTGTAGTGTAGTGTGTTAGTATTAGTGTGTAGTGTTAGTGTGTTAGTATTAGTGTGTAGTGTGTATGTAGTGTGTGTAGTGTAGTGTTAGTGTGTATGTAGTGTGTGTAGTGTAGTGTGTTAGTATTAGTGTGTAGTGTAGTGTGTTAGTATTAGTGTTAGTGTGTATGTAGTGTGTGTAGTGTAGTGTTAGTGTGTATGTAGTGTGTGTAGTGTAGTGTGTTAGTATTAGTGTGTAGTGTAGTTTGTTAGTATTAGTGTGTAGTGTGTATGTAGTGTGTGTAGTGTTAGTGTGTATGTAGTGTGTGTAGTGTAGTGTGTTAGTATTAGTGTGTAGTGTTAGTGTGTATGTAGTGTGTGTAGTGTAGTGTTAGTGTGTATGTAGTGTGTGTAGTGTGTTAGTATTAGTGTGTAGTGTTAGTGTGTATGTAGTGTGTGTAGTGTAGTGTTAGTGTGTATGTAGTGTGTGTAGTGTAGTGTGTTAGTATTAGTGTGTAGTGTTAGTGTGTATGTAGTGTGTGTAGTGTGTTAGTATTAGTGTGTAGTGTTAGTGTGTATGTAGTGTGTGTAGTGTAGTGTGTTAGTATTAGTGTGTAGTGTTAGTGTGTATGTAGTGTAGTGTGTAGTGTTAGTGTGTAGTGTAGTGTGTGTTAGTGTGTAGTGTTAGTGTGTAGTGTTAATGTGTGTTAGTGTGTAGTGTGTGTGTAGTGTTAGTGTGTGTAGTGTTAGTGTGTAGTGTTAGTGTGGTGAGTGTGATGAGTGTAGTGTTAGTGTGTATGTAGTGTGTGTAGTGTTAGTGTGTAGTGTGTTAGTGTGTAGTGTGTTAGTGTGTGTGTTTGTGTGGAGTGTAGTGTTACTATATAGTGTTAGTGTGTAAGTGTGTAGTGTGTAGTGTAAGTGTATAGTGTTTGTGTGTGGTGTGTAGTGTTAGTGTGTAGTGTTAGTGTATAGTGTTTGTGTGTGGTGTGTAGTGTTAGTGTGTAGTGTTAGTGTATAGTGTTTGTGTGTGGTGTGTAGTGTTAGTGTGTAGTGTTAGTGTATAGTGTTTGTGTGTGGTGTGTAGTGTTAGTGTGTAGTGTTAGTGTATAGTGTTTGTGTGTGGTGTGTAGTGTTAGTGTGTAGTGTTAGTGTATAGTGTTTGTGTGTGGTGTGTAGTGTTAGTGTGTAGGGTGTGTAGTGTTAGTGTGTAGTGTGTGTAGTGTTAGTGTGTGTAGTGTGTAGTGTGTTAGTGTGGTAGTGTGTAGTGTTTGTGTGTAGTGTTAGTGTGTAGTGTAGTGTTAGTGTGTGTTACTGTGTAGTGTTAGTGTGTAGTGTAGTGTGTGTTAGTGTATAGTGTGTAGTGTTTGATAGTGTATAGTGGTAGTGTTAGTGTGTTAGTGTTTAGTGTTAGTGTGTAGTGTAATGTATGTTAGTGTAGAGTGTGTCGTGTGTTAGTGTATAGTGTTAGTGTGTAGTGTTAGTGTGTAGTGTGTGTTAGTGTGTAATGTTAGTGTATAGTGTTAGTGTGTAGTGTAGTGTGTTAGTATATTGTGTTAGTATGTAGTGTGTTAGTGTTTAGTGTGTAGTGTTAGTGTGTGTGTAGTGTGTGTTAGTGTGTAGTGTTAGTGTGTGTTAGTGTATAGTGTAAGTGTGTAGTGTTAGTCTGTAGTGTGCAGTGTTAGTGTGTAGTGTAGTGTATGTTAGTGTGTAGTGTTAGTGTGTAGTGTAGTGTACAGTGTTAGTGTGTAGTGTAGTGTGTAGTGTATAGTGTTAGTGTGTAGTGTAGGGTGTGTTAGTGTGTAGTGTGTGTAGTGTAGTGTATAGTGTTAGTGTGTAGTGTGTCTTAGTTGTTTAGTTTAGTGTGTGTTAGTGTGTAGTGTTAGTGTGGTGAGTGTGATGTGTGTAGTGTTAGTGTGTAGTGTATGTTAGTGTGTAGTGTAGTGTATGTTAGTGTATAGTGTAGTGTGTGTTAGTGTATAGTGTAAGTGTGTAGTGTGTGTAGTGTGTTAGTGTATAGTGTTAGTGTGTAGTGTGCAGCGTAGTGTATGTTAGTGTGTAGTGTAGTGTGTTGTGTTAGTGTGTAGTGTATGTTAGTGTGTAGTGCAGTGTATGTTAGTGTGTAGTGTTAGTGTGTAGTGTAGTGTGCAGTGTAGTGTATGTTAGTGTTAGTGTGTAGTGTAGTGTATGTTAGTGTGTAGTGTATGTTAGAGTGTAGTGTAGTGTTAGTGTGTGTGTAGTGTGTGTTAGTGTGTAGTGTGTGTTAGTGTGTAGTGTTAGTGTGTTAGTGTGTGTTAGTGTGTAGTGTGTGTAGTGTTAGTGTGTTAGTGTGTAGTGTGTGTTAGTGTTAGTGTGTAGTGTGTGTTAGTGTGTAGTGTGTGTAGTGTGTGTAGTGTTAGTGTGTGTAGTGTTAGTGTGTAGTGTGTGTTAGTGTGTAGTGTTAGTGTGGTGAGTGTGATGTGTGTAGTGTTAGTGTGTAGTGTATGTTAGTGTGTAGTGTAGTGTGTGTTAGTGTATAGTGTAAGTGTGTAGTGTGTGTAGTGTGTTAGTGTATAGTGTTAGTGTGTAGTGTGCAGCGTAGTGTATGTTAGTGTGTAGTGTAGTGTATGTTAGTGTATAGTGTTAGTGTGTAGTGTAGTGTGTAGTGTATGGTAGTGTGTAGTGTAGTGTATGTTAGTGTCTAGTGTTAGTGTGTAGTGTATGTTAGTGTATAGTGTTAGTGTGTAGTGTAGTGTGCAGTGTAGTGTATGTTAGTGTTAGTGTGTAGTGTAGTGTGTGTTAGTGTGTAGTGTGGTGTATGTTAGTGTATAGTGTTAGTGTGTGTAGTGTATATAGTCTTAGCTCTTTCGGTAAAGTCACGTTGAAGGGAAACAATAAAATAATATATTTTATTGTTTCCCTTCAACGTGACTTTACCGAAAGAGCTAAGTATGTGAATTACTGCAGTCACGAAAGCTTTAAATCAAAGTGTAGTGTATGTTAGTGTATAGTGTTAGTGTGTAGTGTAGTGTATGTTAGTGTGTAGTGTTAGTGTGTAGTGTATGTTAATGTGTAGTGTTAGTGTGTGTAGTGTTAGTGTGTAGTGTATGTTAATGTGTAGTGTATGTTAGTGTGTAGTGTTAGTGTGTGTAGTGTTAGTGTGTGTGTAGTGTGCAGTGTTAGTGTGTAGTGTCTGTAGTGTAGTGTGTGTTAGTGTGTAGTGTGTGTTGGTGTGTAGTGTGTGTTAGTGTGTAGTGCGTGTAGTGTAGTGTGCAGTGTGTTAGTGTCTAGTGTTAGTGTGTAGTGTTAGTGTGTAGTGTAGTGTATGTTAGTGTGTGGTGTTAGTGTATAGTGTGTAGTGTAGTGTATGTTAGTGTATAGTGTTAGTGTGTAGTGTATGTTAGTGAGTAGTGTTAGTGTATAGTGTTAGTGTGTAGTGTAGTGTATGTTAGTGTGTAGTGTTAGTGTGTAGTGTTAATGTGTGTTAGTGTGTAGTGTTAGTGTATGTGTAGTGTTAGTGTGTGTAGTGTTAGTGTGGTGAGTGTGATGATTGTAGTGTTAGTGTGTATGTAGTGTGTGTAGTGTTGTGTTAGTGTGTAGTGTGTTAGTGTGTGTGTGTGGAGTGTAGTGTTGCTGTATAGTGTTAGTGTGTAGTGTAAGTGTGTAGTGTGTTAGTGTGTAGTGTTAGTGTGTAGTGTATAGTGTTAGTGTGTGGTGTGTAGTGTTAGTGTGTGTAGTGTAATTGTATAGTGTTAGTGTGTGGTGTGTAGTGTTAGTGTGTAGTGTAGTGTGTGTTAGTGTGTAGTGTAGTGTTAGTGTGTAGTGTAGTGTTAGTGTGTGTAGTGTTATTGTGTAGTGTTAGTGTGGTGAGTGTGATGAGTGTAGTGTTAGTGTGTATGTAGTGTGTGTAGTGTTAGTGTGTTAGTGTGTAGTGTGTTAGTGTGTGTATTTGTGTGGAGTGTAGTGTTACTGTATAGTGTTAGTGTGTAAGTGTGTAGTGTTAGTGTGTAGTGTAAGTGTGTGGTGTGTAGTGTTAGTGTGTAGTGTAGTGTTAGTGTGTAGTTTGTAGTGTGTAGTGTTAGTGTGTAGTGTTAGTGTGTAGTGTAGTGTGTGTTAGTGTATAGTGTAAGTGTATAGTGTTTGTGTGTTGTGTAGTGTTAGTGTGTAGTGTTAGTGTGTAGTGTTAGTGTGTGGTGTGTAGTGTTAGTGTGTAGTGTTAGTGTGTAGGGTGTGTAGTGTTAGTGTGTAGTGTGTGTAGTGTTAGTGTGTGTAGTGTTAGTGTGTTAGTGTAGTGTTAGTGTGGTAGTGTGTAGTGTTAGTGTGTAGTGTTAGTGTGTAGTGTAGTGTTAGTGTGTGTTACTGTGTAGTGTTAGTGTGTAGTGTTAGTGTGTAGTGTAGTGTGTTAGTGTGTGTTAGTGTGTAGTGTAGTGTGTGTTAGTGTATAGTGTGTAGTGTAGTGTTTGATAGTGTATAGTGGTAGTGTTAGTGTGTTAGTGTATAGTGTTAGTGTGTAGTGTAATGTATGTTAGTGTATAGTGTGTCGTGTGTTAGTGTATAGTGTTAGTGTGTAGTGTTAGTGTGTAGTGTAGTGTGTGTTAGTGTATAGTGTTAGTGTGTAGTGTTAGTGTATAGTGTAGTGTGTAGTGTAGTTTGTAGTGTAGTGTGTAGTGTATAGTGTTAGTGTGTAGTGTAGTGTGTGTTAGTGTGTAGTGTGTGTAGTGCAGTGTAGTGTACAGTGTTAGTGTGTAGTGTAGTGTGTGTTAGTGTATAGTGTAGTGTAGTTTGTAGTGTATAGTGTGTAGTGTATAGTGTTAGTGTGTAGTGTAGTGTGTGTTAGTGTGTAGTGTGTGTAGTGCAGTGTATAGTGTTAGTGTGTAGTGTGTGTTAGTTGTTTAGTTTAGTGTGTGTTAGTGTATAGTGTTAGTATGTAGTGTTAGTGTGGTGAGTGTGATGTGTGTAGTGTTCGTGTGTAGTGTATGTTCGTGTGTAGTGTAGTGTATGTTAGTGTGTAGTGTTAGTGTGTAGTGGGGTGTGTGTTAGTGTATAGTGTAAGTGTGTAGTGTGCAGCGTAGTGTATGTTAGTGTGTAGTGTAGTGTGTAGTGTCGTGTATAGTGTTAGTGTATGTTAGTGTGTAGTGTTAGTGTGTAGTGTGCAGTGTAGTGTGTGTTAGTGTGTAGTGTTAGTGTGTAGTGTTAGTGTGTAGTGTTAGTGTGTAGTGTTAGTGTGTAGTGTAGTGTAGTGTGTAGTGTAGTGTGTGTTAGTGTATAGTGTTAGTGTGTAGTGTAGTGTGTGTTAGTGTATAGTGTTAATGTGTAGTGTAGTGTGTAGTGTGTGTTAGTGTATAGTGTTAGTGTGTAGTGTGTAGTGTCGTGTGTGTTAGTGTGTAGTGTTAGTGTGTAGTGTCGTGTGTGTTAGTGTGTAGTGTTAGTGTGTAGTGTAGTGTGTGTTAGTGTTAGTGTGTATAGTGTGTAGTGTAGTGTGTGTTAGTGTGTAGTGTGGTGTGTGTTAGTGTGTAGTGTTAGTGTGTAGTGTTAGTGTATAGTGTTAGTGTGTAGTGTAGTGTGTGTTAGTGTATAGTGTGTAGTGTTTGATAGTGTATAGTGGTAGTGTTAGTGTGTTAGTGTATAGTGTTAGTGTGTAGTGTAATGTATGTTAGTGTATAGTGTGTCGTGTGTTAGTGTATAGTGTTAGTGTGTAGTGTAGTGTGTGTTAGTGTATAGTGTTAGTGTGTAGTGTTAGTGTATAGTGTTAGTGTGTAGTGTAGTGTAGTGTGTTAGTATATTGTGTTAGTGTGTAGTGTGTTAGTGTTTAGTGTGTAGTGTTAGTGTGTGTGTAGTGTGTGTTAGTGTGTAGTGTTAGTGTGTGTTAGTGTATAGTGTAAGTGTGTAGTGTTAGTCTGTAGTGTGCAGTGTTAGTGTGTAGGGTAGTGTATGTTAGTGTGTAGTGTTAGTGTGTAGAGTAGTGTACAGTGTTAGTGTGTAGTGTAGTGTGTGTTAGTGTATAGTGTAGTGTGTAGTGTAGTTTGTAGTGTATAGTGTGTAGTGTAGTGTATAGTGTTAGTGTGTAGTGTAGTGTGTGTAGTGTGTAGTGTAGTGTATAGTGTTAGTGTGTAGTGTGTGTTAGTTGTTTAGTATAGTGTGTGTTAGTGTGTAGTGTTAGTGTGTAGTGTTAGTGTGGTGAGTGTGATGTGTGTAGTGTTCGTGTGTAGTGTATGTTAGTGTGTAGTGTAGTGTATGTTAGTGTGTAGTGTTAGTGTGTAGTGTAGTGTGTGTTAGTGTATAGTGTAAGTGTGTAGTGTGTGTAGTGTGTTAGTGTATAGTGTTAGTGTGTAGTGTGCAGCGTAGTGTATGTTAGTGTGTAGTGTGTTGTGTTAGTGTGTAGTGTATGTTAGTGTGTAGTGCAGTGTATGTTAGTGTGTAGTGTTAGTGTGTAGTGTAGTGTGCAGTGTAGTGTATGTTAGTGTGTAGTGTAGTGTATGTTAGTGTGTAGTGTATGTTAGTGTGTAGTGTAGTGTTAGTGTGTGTGTAGTGTGTAGTGTGTGTTAGTGTGTGTTAGTGTGTAGTGTGTGTAGTGTTAGTGTGTTAGTGTGTAGTGATAGTGTGTAGTGATAGTGTGTTAGTGTGTGTTAGTGTGTAGTGTGTGTAGTGTTAGTGTGTAGTGTGTGTAGTGTTAGTGTGTAGTGTGTGTTAGTGTTAGTGTGTAGTGTGTGTTAGTGTGTAGTGTGTGTAGTGTGTGTAGTGTTAGTGTGTAGTGTGTGTTAGTGTGTAGTGTTAGTGTGTAGTGTAGTGTGTAGTGTAGTGTGTTAGTGTAGTGTTAGTGTGTAGTGTAGTGTTAGTGTGTTAGTGTAGTGTTAGTGTGTAGTGTGTTAGTGTGTAGTGTTATTGTGTAGTGTAGTGTATGTTAGTGTTTAGTGTAGTGTTAGTGTGTTAGTGTTTGTGTGTTAGTGTATAGTGTTAGTGTGTTAGTGTATAGTGTTAGTGTGTAGTGTGCAGTGTTTTTGTGTGGTGACACCCAGCCACCCGAGTTCCACTCCCGCTCACGGCCATCAATCACCCCTACACCGCTCATAACGACTAACACAACCCCCGCTACTCGCTACTAACAGCACTTGCCCCAACAGCCTGCTGGGGCTACACGGGTTGTCTTTGTGTGACACCTACCCCCTCTGTGTGTGTCACAGTGGCCGGTAGCCTTCATAGGTAGCGCTGCTACTACTCACTGCCACAGCCACTTGCCCCGAGGGTCTGTTCGAGGCTACACGGGGCACCTTTGCCTTCGTGTGTCGCAATGGTTTGGTTGTGATGGGGTGTGCCTGCCTGCGTGTGCGTGTTGCAATGCGGGGGAGCGGTGGTGCAGCGGTTAGCGCCACGCTGCGCCTCGAACCTGGCGACCCGGGTTCGATTCCCGCTCACGGCCAACGCCACCCAGCGACGATTATCTGAACCGGTACCTGGTGCCTCCCCTAGGTCGACTCGGCCTCAAACGAGTTACCTCCTGCTGCGTTGTGTAGTAAAACATCGCCGCTGGGGGAGAGACAAAGGCGGCTGGCCACCCAAAACCTCGCGTGTACCGTTCCGGCCTTCACAGGTGCTGCTCGCTAACGGCACTTGCCCCTGCAGCCTGTGAAGGCTACACGGGGGACCTTCGTCTTTGTTGGAACGCGACTCACTGTGACCCCCGTCCTCGGATGAGTTCGGCTAGCGTGATACCGTGGGGGGGGTGTTGCAACACCCTGACACGTGCAGAGTTACAGCGGCGGAACATCTAAAACCACCCCCCCCCACCCTCCACTCTTCTCGAAACCAGCTCAAGCCTCTGGTTAAAGCAGCGTGGATCCCGAGTGGCCAGCCCCAGCCACTGTGGTCTAGCCTAAGGGGCACCCCCAGTGGCAGCTGTCCCTGTGTGATGCTGTGTGGGTCTAGCCTAAGGGGCACCCCCAGTGGCAGCTGTCCCTGTGTGCTGCTGCCGTGTGGGTCTAGCCTAGGGGCACCCCCAGTGGCAGCTGTCTGTGTGTGATGCTGTGTGGGTCTAGCCTAGGGGCACCCCCAGTGGCAGCTGTCCCTGTGTGCTGCTGTGTGGGTCTAGCCTAGGGGCACCCCCAGTGGCAGCTGTCTGTGTGTGATGCTGTGTGGGTCTAGCCTAGGGGCGCCCCCAGTGGCAGCTGTCCCTGTGCTGTCGTGTGGGCCTAGCCTAAGGGCACCCCCAGTGGCAGCTGTCCCTGTGTGCTGCTGTGTGGGTCTAGCCTAGGGGCACCCCCAGTGGCAGCTGTCCCTGTGCTGTCGTGTGGGCCTAGCCTAAGGGCACCCCCAGTGGCAGCTGTCCCTGTGTGCTGCTGTGTGGGTCTAGCCTAGGGGCACCCCCAGTGGCAGCTGTCCCTGTGCTGTCGTGTGGGCCTAGCCTAAGGGCACCCCCAGTGGCAGCTGTCCCTGTGTGCTGCTGTGTGGGTCTAGCCTAGGGGCACCCCCAGTGGCAGCTGTCCCTGTGACGCTGTGTGGCCTAGCCTAGGGGCACCCCCAGTGGCAGCTGTCCCTGTGTGCTGCTGTGTGGGCCTAGCCTAGGGGCACCCCCAGTGGCAGCTGTCCCTGTGTGCTGCTGCCGTGTGGTTCTAGCCCAGGGGCACCCCCAGTAGCAGCTGTCCCTGTGCTGCTGCTGTGTGGGTCTCCCCCAGGGGCACCCCCAGTGGCAGCTGTCCCTGTGTGCTGCTGCCGTGTGGTTCTAGCCCAGGGGCACCCCCAGTGGCAGCTGTCCCTGTGCTGCTGCTGTGTGGGTCTCCCCCAGGGGCACCCCCAGTGGCAGCTGTCCCTGTGCTGCTGCTGTGTGGGTCTAGCCCAGGGGCACCCCCAGTGGCAGCTGTCCCTGCGCATCGGTGGCCTGCCAGGAGGGGGCTTCGACCACGCGGATCTCCGTCGCTCGTTGCCGGGGCCGAATGTGTCGCTGGCCCAAGGTGGCTTGGCGTCGGCCTCCAAAGCCTCTCCCAACCCTCCCGGAACGCTCCCACAGCACCGAGAGCTGACGGCGATTGTCTCGTCAGCTGCGACCGGAGCGTCGTGATGGAATGCTCTTTCATTCATACCCACCCACGCGAACCAAAGAGTATGGATTCCTGCAGTCGAGATCGTGGACTTCTTCCATCTGCTCGTAAGCGACGTTTTCAGGGACGGCGCAGGGAGGATTACTCCACACAAACCCGGCTCTCCCCGCCTGATCATGTCAGTCATGATTTAGCGGATTTGCTCACGAATTGGCCCCAACGTTCTGGTCACGTGACACAACGCTTAATACATTGGCTGTGTCCCCGTGGTGGCGGGTTTCACGACGCAGCATTTGAGAGATTGACGCGATCTTAACCCAAGCGGACTCGTGCCGTGGATGATGTCGGTCGCAAAAAGGCCTTGCTCCCCTCTCCCTCCCTCCTTCACCACCTCCCTCTACCTCTCCCTCCCTCCTTCACCACCTCCCCCCCTCCCTCCATTCCCTCCCTCCCTCCCCGTCCTCCCTCCCCTCCCTCCACTCCCTCCCTCCTTCACTTCATCCTCCCTCCCTCCCCTCCCTCCCTCCACTCCCTGCCTCCACTCCACTCCCTCCCTCCTCCCTCCCCTCCCCTCCACTCCCTCCCTCCCTCCACTCCACTCCCTCCTCCAACCCCCCCCCACCCCCCCCACCCCACCCCTCCCCACACCCCAGCCCACACCCCAGCCCACCCACCCCCCGAGGCCCGGACATCGCGACCGCCTCAATGTGGCAACTCCTGCGGGCCCAGCTGTGGGCCCAGCTGTGGGCCCTGCTGTGGGCCCTGCTGTGGGCCCTGCTGTGGGCCCTGTGGGCCCTGCTGGGGGCCCTCGCGGCGCTGGCGGCCGCCTCTCGCTGGTCCAGCGGCGCCCTCCAGCACCACTGCAAGATGGCGCTCTACACCACGTGCATGGGCCTCGTGGCGTTTTGCATGCTGCCCGCGTGCCTCTGCCGCGGCAAGAACGTCCTCAACCTCAGGTGCGGTGGTTGGGGGGGCCACGGGGACGTTGGCGACCTCGCCCCGGTGCGCTGGAGGCCGTGGGTCAGAGCACTTGACCGCCCGATGCGCGTGGGCATTTGGGGTCCGCGCGTGTCTGTCTCTCGCTCTCGCTCGCTCTCTGTCGTTGTCGTTGTCGTCGTCGTCGTCGTCACGGTGGCTAGGAGATGACCGGTGTGCAGTCGGTAGGTGTCTGTGTGAGTCTACGGGTCTCTGTGTGGGTCTACGGGTCTCTGTGTGGGTCTGTGGGTCTCTGCTGTGTGGGGCTATGGGTCTCTGTGTGGGTCTACGGGTCTCTGTGTGGGTCTGTGGGTCTCTGCTGTGTGGGGCTATGGGTCTCTGTGTGGGTCTACGGGTCTCTGCTGTGTGGGTCTATGGGTCTCTGCTGTGTGAGTCTATGGGTCTCTGTGTGGGTCTGTGGGTCTCTGCTGTGTGGGTCTATGGGTCTCTGTGTGGGTCTATGGGTCTCTGCTGTGTGAGTTTATGGGTCTCTGTGTGGGTCTGTGGGTCTCTGCTGTGTGGGTCTATGGGTCTCTGTGTGGGTCTGTGGGTCTCTGTGTGAGTCTACGGGTCTCTGTGTGGGTCTGTGGGTCTCTGTGTGAGTCTACGGGTCTCTGTGTGGGTCTGTGGGTCTCTGCTGTGTGAGTCTACGGGTCTCTGTGTGGGTCTGTGGGTCTCTGTGTGGGTCTGTGGGTCTCTGTGTGGGTCTGTGGGTCTCTGCTGTGTGGGTCTACGGGTCTCTGTGTGGGTCTGTGGGTCTCTGCTGTGTGGGTCTACGGGTCTCTGTGTGGGTCTGTGGGTCTCTGCTGTGTGGGTCTATGGGTCTCTGTGTGGGTCTGTGGGTCTCTGTGTGAGTCTACGGGTCTCTGTGTGGGTCTGTGGGTCTCTGCTGTGTGGGTCTATGGGTCTCTGCTGTGTGAGTCTATGGGTCTCTGCTGTGTGAGTTTATGGGTCTCTGCTGTGTGAGTCTATGGGTCTCTGTGTGAGTTTATGGGTCTCTACGGGTCGCTGTGTAAGTCACACACACACAGACACACAGATACACACACACAGACACACAGATACACACACACAGACACACACACAGACACACACACAGACACCCACACAGATACACACACACAGACACCCACACAGATACACACACACAGACACACACACACAGACACACACACACACAGACACACACACACACACAAACACCCACACAGATACACACACACAGACACACACACACAGACACACACACACAGACACACACACAGACACACACACAGACACAAACACCCACACAGATACACACACACAGACACACAACAACAACAACCGCCATTCGCCACTAAGTGGCGGTGACGTCACCACGACGCTTGTGCCAGGTTATGTGCACCCTGAGGCCACGTGAAGTGTCGAACGCCCGCTGGCAGGAGGTCACGGGGCAGACCCAGGTGCCACGGGTCGACTGACTGAGATGACTGGCTGATGCACCACCTGTGCCCCCTACTGTGCCAACCTGCTGTGCTTTAGCCACCCGGCGCTCCGCTCGTTGTTCTGAGCGTCGCTCCTCCGCCCTCCGTTGTTGTTGGAGGGCGACTACCTCTAACTGCCCAGTAGCATCCTTCACGAGCCTCCTCCACAGAGGCCGATCTTGACACTGCTGGTACCAGTCATCGGCAAGTCCACTCAGCTCCACGTCCTCCTGTACCACATCACTCCATCTCCTCTCTAGCCCGTGCCGCGCCCGCTTAGCCCCCTCAATCCGGCCAAACAAAAGCTGTTTCGGCATGCGGTGGCTGGGCATGCGGGCTACATGACCCAGCCAACACAGACACACACACACAGACACACACACAAACACACGCACACACAGACACACACACAGACACAGACACACACACATACACAGACACACACACATACACAGACACACATACACAGACACACGCACACACAGACAGACACGCACACACAGACAGACACACAGACACACACACAGACACACAGACACACACACACACAGACAGACACACAGACACACACACAGACACACAGACACACACACACGCACGTGTACACACACACAGACACACACACACAGACCTGCGTGGCGAGGTGAGAGAGTCATCCCACGCCCACGTGTTGCGTAACCCCCCTAACACTGCCAGTGAAACGTTGTTACCTGCGCAGGGGTGAGAGGGGGATGGGGGAGAGGGGGGTGGTTAGGGGAGGGTGGGACAGTGGGGTAACACAGAGACCCATAGACTCACACAGAGACCCATAGACTCACACAGAGACCCGTAGACTCACACAGAGACCCGTAGACTCACAGAGACCCACAGACTCACACAGAGACCCATAGACTCGCACAGAAACCCATAGACTCGCACAGAGACCCGTAGGCTCACACAGAGACCCGTAGACTCACACAGAGACCCACAGACTCACACAGAGACCCACAGACTCACACAGAGACCCACAGACTCACAGAGACCCGTAGACTTACACAGAAATCCATAGACTCACACAGAGACCCGTAGACTCACACGGTGACCCACAGACTCACCACACAGAGACCCACAGACTCACACAGAGACCCACAGACTCACACAGAGACCCACAGACTCACACAGAGACCCACAGACTCACACAGAGACCCACAGACTCGCACAGAGGAGACCCGTGTCCCGTATTTAACACACATTCCGCACATACCGGACCGACCAATCGCGAGTCCGACACGGGGCACTTGAACTGCCGTGACCTCTTGACCCCTCCCGTGCCTCCCCACGTGCCGTGCTGGGCCCTGGTCAAGTGCGGCGGTAACCTTGACAGGCAGGGCCGGTGACCTTGACAGGCAGAGACGGTCACCTTGACAGGCAGGGCCGGTGACCTTGACAGGCAGCGCCGGTGACCTTGACAGGCAGAGCCGGTGACCTTGACAGGCAGGGCCGGTGACCTTGACAGGCAGAGCCAGTAACCTTGACAGGCAGAGCCGGTGACCTTGACAGGCAGAGCCGGTGACCTTGACAGGCAGAGCCGGTGACCTTGACAGGCAGAGCCGGTGACCTTGACAGGCAGGACGGTGACCTTGACAGGCAGAGCCGGTGACCTTGACAGGCAGGGCCGGTGACCTTGACAGGCAGAGTTGTCGGTGGAGACTTCCCCTGAGCCATCTGTCTCGGTCAACAAAGGCCAACAAAGGTCAACAAAGGTCAACCGTGTGACTCCACCGCTCTGCGTTTACAGCGGCGAGCGTGGGTGGGAGTGATGGGAGTCTGTGGGTCTCTGTGTGGTGAGTCTGTGGGTCTCTGTGTGATGAGTCTGTGGGTCTCTGTGTGGTGAGTCTGTGGGTCTCTGTGTGATGAGTCTATGGGTCTCTGTGTGATGAGTCTATGGGTCTCTGTGTGATGAGTCTATGGGTCTCTGTGTGATGAGTCTGTGGGTCTCTGTGTAGTGAGTCTGTGGGTCTCTGTGTGGTGAGTCTGTGGGTCTCTGTGTGGTGAGTCTGTGGGTCTCTGTGTGGTGAGTCTGTGGGTCTCTGTGTGGTGAGTCTATGGGTCTCTGTGTGGTGAGTCTGTGGGTCTCTGTGTGGTGAGTCTGTGGGTCTCTGTGTGGTGAGTCTATGGGTCTCTGTGTGATGAGTCTATGGGTCTCTGTGTGATGAGTCTATGGGTCTCTATGTGATGAGTCTATGGGTCTCTGTGTGAGTGAGTCTATGGGTCTCTGTGTGATGAGTCTGTGGGTCTCTGTGTGATGAGTCTATGGGTCTCTGTGTGGTGAGTCTATGGGTCTCTGTGTGATGAGTCTATGGGTCTCTGTGTGATGAGTCTATGGGTCTCTATGTGATGAGTCTATGGGTCTCTGTGTGAGTGAGTCTATGGGTCTCTGTGTGATGAGTCTGTGGATCTCTGTGTGATGAGTCTATGGGTCTCTGTGTGGTGAGTCTATGGGTCTCTGTGTGATGAGTCTATGGGTCTCTGTGTGATGAGTCTATGGGTCTCTGTGTGATGAGTCTATGGGTCTCTGCGTGGTGAGTCTGTGAGTCTCTGCGTGGTGAGTCTGTGGGTCTATGTTTGGTGAGTCTATGAGTCTGTGGGTCTCTGTGTGATGAGTCTGTGGGTCTCTGTGTGATGAGTCTGTTGGTCTCTGTGTGGTGAGTCCGTGGGTCTCATTGTGTGATTGAGAATAGTCCGTGGATCTCTGTGTGAGTCTGTGGGTCTCTGTGTGGTGAGTCTGTGGGTCTCTGTGTGGTGAGTCTGTGAGTCTCTGTGTGGTGAGTCTGTGAGTCTCTGTGTGGTGAGTCTGTGGGTCTCTGTGTGGTGAGTCTGCGGATCTCTGTGTGGTTAGTCTATGGGTCTCTGTGTAGTGAGTCTATGGGTCTCTGTGTGATGAGTCTTTGGGTCTCTGTGTGGTGAGTCTGTGGGTCTATGTGGTGAGTCTGTGGGTCTCTGTGTGATGAGTCTATGGGTCTCTGTGTAATGAGTCTATGGGTCTCTGCGTGGTGAGTCTGTGGGTCTCTGCGTGGTGAGTCTGTGGGTCTCTGTTTGGTGAGTCTATGAGTCTGTGGGTCTCTGTGTGATGAGTCTGTGGGTCTCTGTGTGATGAGTCTGTTGGTCTCTGTGTGGTGAGTCCGTGGGTCTCATTGTGTGATTGAGAATAGTCCGTGGATCTCTGTGTGAGTCTGTGGGTCTCTGTGTGGTGAGTCTGTGGGTCTCTGTGTGGTGAGTCTGTGAGTCTCTGTGTGGTGAGTCTGTGAGTCTCTGTGTGGTGAGTCTGTGGGTCTCTGTGTGGTGAGTCTGCGGATCTCTGTGTGGTTAGTCTATGGGTCTCTGTGTAGTGAGTCTATGGGTCTCTGTGTGATGAGTCTGTGGGTCTCTGTGTGATAAGTCTATGGGTCTCTGTGTGGTGAGTCTGTGGGTCTGTGTGGTGAGTCTGTGGGTCTTTGTGTGATGAGTCTATGGGTCTCTGTGTGGTGAGTCTGTGG